GACTAACCACTGTTGTTTCTCCCAAGAAATCCATCCTGCCTTTAACAGTGAGTCCTGGGCTCCCGAGCCTGGTCCTGGTGCCCTGGTGTTCTTCTTTCTTAGAGTAGACAAGCAGACTTCCTTCAGGACACTCATTCACCCTAAACAACAGGAACAGTTTCAGATCCCCTGAGACTGTCATTATGCACATTTTGCTATCTTTCCTCCCAGTGCACAATGAGAGGGACTGTGTCTAGGTTTGTTCCAGGTCCTCCAACTCCATTAAGGAAAGATGTTCAGACAGACCTTTCCACCCATGTTTCTCCTGAGCTCACTAGCCTGGTTTCTCCATCCTCAAAGCACAGCGTCAGGCCTGCTACTCAAGAAAATGGAATTGGACTTCCGGTCAAGATGACGGCGTAGATAAACGCCTCCTCCCACAACCACATCAAAGTTACAACTAAACTACAACACAACCATCATTCATAACAGCCTGACATTGAGCTGAATGGAAGTCCTACAACTTCGAAATTAAAGAAGCAGCCACATTGAGACTAGTAGGAGGGCAGAGATGCAGACGGGCTGGTCCCACTCCCACGTGTGGTGGATAAAAATCAGGAGGACACCTCGGCTGGGAAGGTCCTCCCTGAGGAGTGAGGGGTCCCCATTCCACACCAGGCCCCCAGCTCAGGGTTCCAGCACCAGGAAGAGAATCCCCATTACTTCTGGCTGTAAAACCAGCAGGAACTGAGGCTCAGGGAGGTTGAGGCAGCGGGAGCCCCAGGCAGCTCCTCTTAAAGGGCCCGCGCATGGACTTACTCGGACTTGCTCCCTCTAAACTCGAAGGAGAGGCAACTTGAAAGGCACCAGAGAACAGGGAAGAACTGAGCTGTTTGGCCTCGGGATGAAGGCTGGAGGGGCGCCTTTCTCCCGGATGGACATGCTGGCGGAAGCTGTTGTTCCTTTGGTGAGCCCTTCCATCACAGGCCAGGCAGACAGCTGCCATATCTGGGACTCCAGCAACCTGGCTCACACTGGTAGCCCCTCCCTGGTGATTCCCCGAGTCCCCGCGCCACCCATCTTTCAGGCCCACCCAAGCTGTTTCCAAAAGCTTTACCATTGGAATGGCCTGTATTGGATCCTGCTTCAGAGTTTCCTAAAATCTCTCAAACAAGCAGCATCTGGCCTCAGTGAGCCCCATACCTCTCGTTAAGTGGCCTCAGGCCCGGCACTAGGAGCAACCAGCCTTGGTTCACAACGTGGCTTTTCCTGGGCACCTCCAAACCCAGCACAAGAAGCAGCCATCTTCAGATCACTTTGTAGCTTAAGCCTGGTGGCCCCAGGTAGAACACAGGCAGTGGCTGACCTTGCCCCAGAGCCAGCACACCCAGTGGACAGCTTCGGACCACATCAAAGCACCACCGCCCAACCACCTCCACAAGTGACACACTCAAGGAATAGACTCAGTGGGTACCAGAGCCCTGCTGAAGTAAGTCTTGCTCTATGTGTTGGTCCCCCACGCAGCTAATCCTCCAAGGTAGTCAGAGGCCAGTGTCTAGTGGGCACAGCCAGACCTTGCAGTTGATCAGCCTGAGTAAATCCCTCCCATTGATGTACCAACAGTAATCAAGACTCAATTACAACAGAAGGGTGCACAGTCCACATGAGGGGTGCACCTCGAGGGCCAAGCTGGGGTGATCAGAGAGGCTGTGCCACTGGATCCTACAGGACATCTACAACAATAGGCCACCCTATGAAGCCTAGGAGACATAGCAATTCTGCCTAATACATAGAAACAATTACAAGGAAGCTGCCAAAATGATGAGTCAAAGAAACATGTCCCAAATAAAAGAAAAGAACACAACTCCAGGAAAAGAACTAAACAAAATGAAGATAAGCAATAAATCAGATGCAGAATTCAGAAAACAGGTTATAAGGTTGCTAAAGGAACTTGGTGAGACATTCAAGGGATTTAGTAAGACCTTCAAGGAACTTAAGGAGACCTCTGAGGAGCTTAGTGAGAACATCAACAACATAAAAAAAAAAAAAAACAGTCAGAAATTAAGGATACACTAACTGAAATAAAGAATAATTTACAGGGAATCAATAGTAGAGTAGGTAAAGCCAAGAAGCAAACCATCAATTTGGAATATAAGGAAGCAGAAAATACCCAACCAGAACAGAAAAAAAAAAAGAAAGAAAGAAAGAAATCCAAAAATATGAGGATAGTGTAAGGAGCCTCTGGGACACTTCAAGCGTGCCAACATTCACATTATAGGGGTGCCAGAAGGAGAAGAGAGAGAGCAAGAAATTGAAGACCTATTTGAAACAATAATGACAGAAAAGTTCCCAAACTTGGTGAAGAAAACAGACATATGAGTCCAGGAAGCACAGAGAGTCCCAAACAAGTTGAACCCAAGGAGGTCCACACCAAGATACATCATCATCAAAATGCCAAAGATTAAATACAAAGAGAGAATCTTAAAAGCAGCAAGAGAAAAGCAGTCCGTTACATACAAAGGATCTCCCATAAGACTGTCAGCTAATTTCTCAAAAGAAACTTTGCAGGCCAGAAAGAAGTGGCAAGAGATATTCAAGGTGATGAAAAGCAATGACCTACAACCAAGATTACGCTATCCTGCAGAGCTATCATTTAGAATCGATGGACATATCAAGAGTTTCCCAGATAAGAAAAAAACTAAAGAAATTCATCACCACCAAACCAGTATTACATGAAATGTTGAAGGGTCTTCCTGAAGGCGAAGAAGAACAAAAATATGAACAATAAAATAGCAATAAATACATATGTATCAACAATTGAATCTACAAACAAAATGAGCAATCAGAACAGAAACGGACTCATAAATATAGAGAACTTTTTGTTACTTGCCAGATGAGTAAAAAAGATGAAGGAATTAAGAAGTACAAATTGGTTGTTAGACTAATGAACCTCAAAGGGAAGAGGGGAGGGAGGGCAGGATGAGATAAACCAAAGAACTTCTATGCATATATGCATAACCAATGGACACAGACAACAGTGTGGGGAAGGCAGGAGGGGGCGGGATTGGGGAGGAGGGCCTCAATGGGGAAAAAAGAGAGAAACAACTGTAATACATTCAACAATAAAGATGAGAAGAAAGAAAGAAAGAAAGAAAGAAAGAAAGAAAGAAAGAAAGAAAGAAAGAAAGAGAGAGAGAGAGAGAGAGAGAGAGAAAGAGAGAAAGAAAATGGAATTGAACAACGATGGGGTTTAAGATGCTCTGAACTGAGGAGGGTAAAGAATTCTGTCTCTCAAATAACTGACAGACAGGTTTCTCGGGCCTTGAAGGTGACGGGCTTACTACATCTGACAAACTCACACCCTCCCAGATACATTTCCTTTTAATTTAACTTAAATTTTTAATTGTTTTTTCCTTCATTGATCTTAGAGAGAGAGGAAGTGAGAGGGAGAGAGAGATAGAAACTTTAATCAGAGAGAACATTGATTGGCTGCCTCTTGCACGCCCCACCCTGGGGATCAGGCCCACAACCTGGGCACGTGTCCTAACTGGGAATTGAACTGGTGACCTCTTGGTGCATGGGCTGACCCTCAACCACTGAGCCATACCAGCCAGACCACATTTCCTTTTTTTTTTTATCCTCATCCGAGGACATTTTTCCATATATATATATTTTTTTGTTCAGGTAGAGTGGGAGGGAGAGAGAGGAATAGAGAGAGAGAGAAACATCGACGTGAAAGGGACACATCGAGTGGCTTCCACCCACATGACCAACCAGGGCCGGGGACAAACTGCAACCGAGGCACATGCCCTCAGCGGGAACCGAACCCGAGTCTCTCTGGACTGCAGGCCGACGCTCTAACCACTGAGCCAAACCAGCCAGGGCCACATTTCCTTTTTAAAAGACTTACTATGATATAGTTAACAAATGACTTACAAAGTTTGCCTGGAGAACCATGATTGTAGAGGATGCTGATGATGCGAGCAGAAGCCGGCAGAAAGACAATGGACCAGCTGGTGATCCTAACCCAGTACAGGCTCCATAAATCACATATGAAGTAAATGCAATGGCAGTTCTAATGAGATTAGTCAACAACAAGAACTTCAAATTATATAAGAAGACATTTCAAATGTGGCTGTATACATACTGTCTTTAAGGATGAATGGGACCCTACCTGTTGTCTTGATAAACTCGCTAATTAAATACCTGAAAATACTATTATAATAATATTTAAAGTTATAAGTTACTTCATATTTATCTTTAACTTATTTAATTTTACTTTATGTGTTTATAACACACCTCACAAATTAGTACTGCGGTAGCTACCCCTCGTTATTTAATAATATACACACATTGGGATCTGTGCACAAAACCATGGTGCACTGATGATGGTGTGAGATTAAAAGGTGTTAGGAGAGCACAGGCTCAGACCACAGGGAGTCTGCTCGGTTCTTTAACTCCTAAAGATAAAAACTGTCATCTCCCCAACACTACCTTTTACCTGGCTCTTCAAAACCTGCGTCAGAATGTTTCCGCCAGTATCAGAATAATTAAAAACAACTTTTGAAGGATCCAAATCCAATTGTAAACAGTGGCAAGCAGCCTGGTGTGCCACCTGTCTTCGTAACTGACATTTCAGGAACCTGCTAAGTCTACTGGCTGAGTTAGCTGCACAGCCCCCGTTTCTATTCAAACCTGAAGCAGCCTTAATGGAATCTGTTGGCCTATCACTCAAAAGAACAGCTGGGCCCTGGCTGGTTTGGCTCCACGGTTAGAGCGTCGGCTTGTGGTTCAGAGAGACCCCGGTTGGGTTCCCACTAAGGGCACGTATCTCAGTTGCAGTTTGTCCCTGGCCCTGGTTGGGTCGTGCAAGTGGCAGCCACTCGATGTGTCCCTTTCACGTCGATGTTTCTCTCTCTCTCTCCCCCTCTCCTACTCTATCTGAACAAAAAATGTTCTCAGGTGAGGATAAAAAACAAAAAAGAACAGCTGGTACCAAGTGAGCTGAACCAAAGTTCATAGTGCTCTAGTCGGCAGCATGTATACAAAAATTGGAAAGACACGGAGATTAACATGGCCCCTGTGCAAGGATTACATACAAATTCGCTTAGTGTTGCATTTTTTTTTCTTCTTTCTTTTTTTTATCCTCACCTGAGGACATATTTCCATTTTTTGTTGTTGTTGTTGTTGTTCAGGTACAGTGGGAGGGAGAGAGAGAAAGAGAGAGAGAGAAACATCAACGTGAAAGGGACACATCGAGTGGCTGCCACCTGCCTGACCTAACCAGGGCCGGGGACAAACTGCAACCGAGATACGTGCCCTTAGAGGGAACCGAACCTGGGTCTCTCTGGACCACAGGCTGACACTCTAACCACTGAGCAAAACTGGACAGGGCTTTTTTTAAAGAGAGAGAAAGAGAGAGAGAGAGAGAATCATCAATGTGAGAGAGAAACATCGATCGGCTACCTCCTGCACTGTTCCCACTGGGGATTGAGCCCACAACCCAGGTACGTGCCCTGATCAGGAAACGAATTGGCACCTCAGTCCGTGGGACAATGTTCAATCCACTGAGCCACACTGGAGACAGGCTAGTGTTTCATATTTTTGTTTCATATTAAAAAACATTGTAATAACTGTGTACGGTGCCAGGTGGGTATGAGAGTTATCAGGGGGATCACTTCATAAGTTATATAAATGCCTAACCACTATGCTGTATATCTGAAACTAATCTAAAATCATATTAAATGTCAACTCTAATTGACAAATGAAAATTAAAACAATAAAATAAAATTGCAAAAAAGGAAAAAAAATAACCAATAAAGTCCATGTATGAAGCAAAGCTATTCCAAATACAAATGGAGAAAACTAAATAACACTCTCATGACTTGGGAAGTTTAAACCATGATAAAGTATACAGCTAACTTATACATCAAGACCTAAACAAAATCAGATTTACCTCAGGGGCCAGATTTTTTTTTATTTTCAGATAGAGTGGGAGGGAGAGAGAAAAACATTGACATGAAAGGGACACATCGAGTGGCTGCCACCCGCATGACCCAACCAAGGCCAGGGACAAACTGCAACCGAAGTACATGCCCTTAGTGGGAACCAAACCCAGGTCTCTCTGGACCACAGGCCAACACTCTAACCACTGAGCCAAACCAGCCAGGGCGATGGGCTTCTATTTAAGCTACAGCATACACCAGGCTCCTGAATGTACAAACAGAATGTTTATTCTGAAGCCTGCAATTCGGAATTAAAAGCATGTATTACAGCTCAGGATAACAGCATTGCAGACACTTAGCTTACCAAACTTTAAGGAGAGCAGAGAAACTATTTTACTTTTGTTCCCAAACAAGTGACCAGGGAACCCTCCCTTTCATCATTCCATAATGGGTAAAATGAATAACACTAAATAACCACACATTTATTTTAAATACTCAGTAAGTCATTTATTTGAAGTGCCTGGTACATATATCTCTTTGTTCTTTCTGATGTAAAATAAAGATATATTTTATTTTAAAAGATATAAAGATGTTTTCTGTTAGCAAAATTAATGCATGCTTCTGGTAGAAAAGTTGAAAATATAAAGAAGAAAATATAAATCTTCCATAGTTTTAGCACTCAAAGAAAATCACTGTTGAAATTTTGTTAATTTATTTTGGATAATGTTTTTAGAGTATGCATATATTGTGTTTGTTTAATAAATTTGAATTATATTTTATAAATATTTGTAAGCTGCTTTTTCCATTGAACATTAATGTTGAATAGTTTCCTCATGACAACTAAATATATCTTCAAAATATGATTTCTACTAACTGTGTAATTATAATATGTATACTTTTATTGGTTTAATATTGTTGGACATTTAATTTTTCAATTTTAACTATTATAAGTTATAACGTAATAGGTATACATTTTTTTAAATTCATAATACCCATTGCCAAATTGTTTTCTAGAAATTTTTGCTGATATACACTCCTACCAGCAATGGATGAGAATACCTATATCAACACACCTTCACCAATATTGAACAATATAGAATTTTGGGGGGGAGGGAATGGCCGGTAAAAAATAGTATCTCAAAAATTTTATTGCTGCCCTGGCCGATTTTGCTCAGTGGTTGGAGTATCGGCCTGCAGACCAGAGAGTCCTGGGTTCGGTTTCCGCTAGGGGCACGTACCAAAAAAAAAACAAAAAACAAATTTCTAATTAAATAATACATTTTTTCATTTGTTAATTTCCAGGTTGTATTTCTTTCATGTTCACTCTTTTTCTTATATCAGTGTTTATGTTCATTTCATTGATTTAAAAGAGTTCTTTAAATATGAATAACTTTAATACTTTCTCATTCAATATAGTGTATGTTTTCTTTTTTTTTTTTTAATCCTTACCCAAGAATATTCTTTCCATTTATCATCACATAGATCGGGGAGAGGGAGAGACATCGATGTGAGAGAGACACACCTACTGGATGTCTCCCGCACAACCCAAGCAGGGCTGAGGATGAACCCCAACCGAGGTATGTGCCCTTAACAAGAATCGAACCCGTAACTCACTGGCCCATGGGCCAACACTCTAACCACTGAGCAAAACTGGCCAGGGCATATTTTTATTTTTTTGTTATTAGAAGTTTTAAAATTTTTATAAACAAATCTATTGATGTTTTCTTTTGTGGTTTCTTCCATTGTTTCAATCCTTCCCTATTTCAAGATTACTGTGTTTTCTTTATTTATTGTTGTTGTTTTGTTTATGGTTTGAGGTAAGAATATAATTTCATTTTTTCACAAATAATATCATTTCTCCACTAATTTGCAATATCATCATCTTACATCAAGTTCTTATATAAATGTATTTGATTTATATTTCATTTCTTTATTGTTTATTCAATACAACTGTATTTTATTTTTTTAAAGTTCCAACACATTTTATTCTATTTTTTTAATTAATTAATTAATTTTTGTTACAGATGTTTCTCCTTTTCCCCCCACTGATTCCCCCCTCCCCCTCCCTCCTCGCCCTGTCCCCAGCATTGTTGTCCATGTCCATTGTTCATGCACACATGCATATAAGTTCTGTGGTTTATCTCTCCTCCTCCACCCCCTCTTCTGGGGATTGTCAGTCTGTACCTTACTTCCACATCTCTGGGACTACCCCATTCCTCAGACTGTTATGTTCATTATATTCCACAAATAAGTGAGATCATATGATACGTGTCTTTCTCTGTTTGGCTTGTTTACTTAGGATAATACTTTCCAGGTCCCTCCATGTCGTCTCAAAGAATAAGAGATCTTTCTTTCTTTCTTTTTATTTTTAATATATTTTTTTTATCCTCACCCAAGGATATTTTTCCATATTTTGTTCAGATAGAGTGGGAGGGAGAGCGAGGAAGAGAGAGAGAGAGAGAGAGAAATATCGAAGTGAAGGGGACACATCGAGTGGCTGCCACCCCTATGACCCAACCAGGGCCGGGGACAAACTGCAACCGAAGTACGTATCCTTAGCGGGAACTGAACCCTGATTTCTCTGGACCGCAGGCCAATGCTCTAACTGCTGAGCCAAACTGGCCAGGGTTCTATTTTTTTTTTTTTAATTAATTAATTTATTTATTTTTGTTACAGATATTTCTTCTTTTTCCCCCACTGATTCCCCACTCCTCCTCCCTCCCCGCCCTGTCTCCACCTTTGTTGTCCATGTCCATTGTCCATGCATACATGCATATAAGTTCTGTGGTTTATCTCTCCCCCTCCACCCCCTCTTCTGGGCATTGTCAGTCTGTACCCCACTTCCATGTCTCTGGGACTACCCCGTTCCTCAGACTGTTATGTTCATTATATTCCAGAAATAAGTGAGATCATGTGATATTTGTCTTTCTCTGCTTGGCTTGTTTCGCTTAGGATAACACTTTCCAGGTCCCTCCATGTAGTCTTAAAGGATAAGAGATCTTTCTTTATTGCAGCTGCATAGTACTCCATTGTGTGTATGTACCACTGCTTTTTTATCCATTCGTCTACTGATGGACATTTGGGTGTTTCCAGATCTTAGCTATTGTAAATAGTGCTACTACAAACATGGGGGTACATATATTTTTTCTGATTGGTGTTTTGGGCTTCTTAGGGTATATTTTTAGAAGTGGGATCAGTGGGTCAAATGGAAGTTCAATTTTTAATTTTTTGAGGTAACACCATATTGTTTTTCATAGTGGCTGCACCAGTCTGCATTCCCACCAGTAGTGCACTAGAGTCCCCTTTTCTCCACACCCTCACCAACACTTGTTGTTTGATGATTTATTGATGGCAGCCATTCTAACAGTTGTGAGGTGATACCTCATTGTTGTTTTAATTTGCATCTCTCTGATGATTAGTGATGTTGAGCATTTCTTCATATGTCTCTTAACCATTTGTATGTCCTGTTTGGAGAGGTGTCTATTTAGTTCCTCTGCCCATTTTTTAAATTGGGTTCTTTGTCTTCCTTTTGTTGAGTTGTCAATACAACTGTATTTGAAATGCTATACCTGCATGATAATTTTTTATATCCAATAATTCAAGTCCTTCTTAATATTTTTTATTCTCCCCTGAGGATATTTTTTCACTGATTTTCTTTTTTTTTTCTTTTTTTTTTTTAGATATAGTGGGAGGGAGAGAGGGAAGAAAGGAGAAAGAGAAGCAGCGATGTGAGAAAGACACATGGATTGGTTGCCCCCACACAACCCTGAGTGGGGCAAGGAATGGAACCTACAACCAAGGTATATGCCCTTGACTGGGAATCGAATCCATGACTCTTTGGTCTGAGGGCCAATGCTCTAACTGCTGAGCAAAACTGGCCAAGGTTTAATTTTTTTGTTCCATAAACATTGTAATTATTTTGGGATCTTTTATTCTTTTATATGCATTTTAGGAACAATTTGTGACATTCCACCAGAAATTCTGTTGGAATTTTTATAGGAATTGCATTAGATCTAGACATCTGTTTCTGTAGAATTTATGTCTCTTTCATGTTGCTCTCTACAGTCAGAAAACCTGGTCCTTTTCTCTATTTACTTGGATCTTCCTTGTCTCAATAATATTTTATAACTATTTCATAAAGTTCTTGCACATTTTTGTTCACTTTAATTTGAAGTAACTT